TATAAATATGCAAAAAATTTCTGACTTAAGTAACAGTTTTAATTAAATGCGCATCCTTGCTTTATTTTACAAAATCACAAATGTTCTGTTGTTATTTTGAGTGTGCAAAAATAAAAGTTTGCACACTCTTTAATTATGTCTTACTCTTATCTGTATGACCAAAAATTATGTATTTTATGTTTCAGTTGTTCGATCGCGCCGGCACCTCGCGCGCTCACACACACACACACACACACACACACACCCACCACATATTTGCAACTCAAACATCGCAAGTCTGTTCATTATCAAAATAAAATTGGCTACAGTCAACCAAAAAAAGGTTACATTGGTCAATTTAAATAGTCTGTGGTATAACTGGATACCATAACATAACCTCCACATATGCGCTCGCTCTCATATGCTCGCACGCACTGTCACGATCTAATGGCGGATCCTTAAAAATAATTACCGGAACGAAAAATCCAAAATCTGACATTTTCCGGAACAGGATCCGGCTCAAATTAAGCACTGTATTCATACTTTTTTAAAGAGCAGGTCATATGGTATTTTAAAGTGTCCTAATATTGTGTTGGAGTCCTCTACAACAGGTTTAAATGCATATAAGGTCAGAAAACATTGTAATTTTCTCAGAATATACATTTAATATTAGAGTCATTTGCCAATGATTTCGAAACGATTCGTTCCAAACAGGTTCGGAGCAAACCTCGCACTTCCATAAGCCTACTCTGCTCTGATTGGTCAGCTGGCCAAGCCTGTTGTGATTGGCACAGAGAGGAGTCCTTGAGTTAACTTTTAATCAGAATGCAGAACAGCTGTATCACAGGCGCAGCAGCCCAACTAACTCGCTCGTCTCTCCCGCATTAACCCTATAACTGCCGGTGCAGCAAAATGAACAGCAATTTCACAATGATTATAAAGTCTGTGTGCTACAATACATTCTTTATTATTAAACGAAGTAATTATTAGAACAAAGTCAGTCTACATTAATCGACACATTCCTAGGAAATAGTGGGTTCACAGCGAATTATCAGAACTAACGTATTTCAGTAAGACAGTAATATCGTGCACGACTCGTTAAGGCGATTCAGAATCGACTCTCTCTTTTGAGAGAGAATATCTTTATCATGCACTTTTTGGATTAACAACTTTGCAGACTGTTTTCAATTATGGATAGCTACGTTATAAACTGCAAAAGAGATATTTTTCAAAAACCCATATGACCTGCTCTTTAAATACTTTTTTTGCACCATTTGATGCTCATCTTTGCAGGACTTATCACTGATTTTTGTAGCCCAAAATGACTGAATTTGCTGCAACTTTGTCTCATAAATCCATTTTGTATTACGAATATCACTTACTCTTAATTGCTTTATTCCTCTTTTATAAGTTACTTTGGATTAAAGCATCTGCTAAATGCATTAATGTAAAAGTAACTGGCTGAATTTGCATTGCAGTCGCAATATCGCAAAATCTTGAACAGACTGGTTTATACATCATCAAAATGAACTTAAACTAAACTGAAACACCTAGGAAGTGTAGCAACATTTATATGGGGGACACTTTTTAGGAAATAATTATATTTTTAGACTTTACTAAGGGCATAATTGTAGTTAGTCACATAGGCTATACAAAATATTTCAAAGTATTTTAATAAATTGAAACAGTTTTTTACAGTCCCACTACATCTAGTGCCTATTTACCATTGTTTGCCTTTAAGCAAATCAGGTAAGAGTTCTGGTACTGCTGTTGAATATTAATTATGACTACCCAATGAATATTCATGAGTCAAGCTGCTAAGTTCTGTTACAATTGTGTCCTCCCTACTTTTCACATGGCTGTTCAGCCTCTCCATCTTACACGTTAACTCACATCGGTCCCGGATGCATTTAATATGACGAGCAGCCGTGTTTGTCCAAGACTTCATTTGACAGAGCAGCCAGGCATTCAAAGTCAAGCTGTTTCCAGGGTTTGGAAAGCGGCCCTCTCCTGCTAAGATTATCTCCTCCCGACAGCAGGCATCTCGGGAGTACTAAAACAGTCCAGGTCTATTGGAGGGCATCTGACGGAGGGCCTCTGATCATATCCTGCCCCGGGCCATGTGTACAAATGGTGCGGCGTGGCAAATGCCCAATAACCCATTTCATCAGTGTCAGGTCATAGGCAGAGGCCATGCGAGGCGGCGCGAAATGTTTTGTAACCGCAAGCAAAGAGCTGTCAAGCCTGAAAAGAACATAAAAAACAGCTCTTCCAATAGATGTGTTGTTGTCCTCAAAAAAGCACACTGATTTTTTTTTATCTTTCATATCTGACATGCAGTGTTCAACCTGCTGTTGTTGCATTGAGATAAAAAAAACACCAGTGTTCAATAAGCAATTACACTACTGTTCAAAAGTGTGGGATCAGTATAATTTTTTTTTAAGAAATAGTGATAACAGAGATGCATTACATTTATAATGTTACAAAAGATTTTTGTTTCAAATAAATGCTGTTCTAAACTATTCATCAAAACATCCTGAGGAAAATGTATCCGCATTTTTGGTTCCATATACATAAATAAATAAATAAATAAATAAATATGAGCAGCACAACTGTTTTCAACATTGAAAATAATAATAAATGTTTCTTGAGCAGCAAATCAGCATATTAGAATGATTTCTGAAAGATCATGTGACACTGAAGACTGGAGTAATGATGCTGAAAATTCAGCTTTGATCACAGAAATACATTACATTTTACAATATATTCATATAGAAAACAGTTATTTTAAATTGTGATAATATTTCACAATATTACTGTTTTTACCATATTTTTTGACTAAATAAATGCAGCCTTGGTGAGCAGAAGAGACATCAAACAGATATTTAAAACTTACCAACCTCAATGTGTTTTAAATGGTAGTGTACATTTACTGTATAAATAATAAAAATAAACAATTCTTTAGTCAAGTAATATAGTTCATGAAACCAAAGATCATTCTATAAATTGTGCAACTCGATGCATTAATGCAGAATGTGCATTTACAGATATTTATCTACATTTAATTGGATTCAAATGAACTATCATTTATATAACATATACGCAACAGTCCATACTTCAAATCAAGTGAAATGCATAGTCTTTTCTTGTTATTCAGTACATGAGTTGTTGAATTGGTGTGTGACATACTATACTCGATATAAATCCATTTAAAACAGCCTAAACAACTAATTTTGACGTTTTCATTTTTGTATAACAATAATACATGCCGTTTTCATGAAGTCATATTTATTGAGACATTACTTTTTATGTTTTTAACGTGTCTTTTGGTGCTTTATGTTATATATCCTAACTATATATCTTAACAAGTTAATAACTGATTCTTCTGAATCAGTGATTGAATGAGCGAGTCATCATTAGACTGATTCAACCTAGTACAGAAACTCATATTTTTTAGTCTTTTTGGCTAATTCATTCAAAAGAACAGCTCATAGGAGTAATTTGTTCATCAGTTGCCTGATTCAGCAATGGTCAGTTGCAGCTTGCTTAGATGTGTTGTCTGTTTTTTTTTTTTTTTCATTGCGACACCCAGTCTTCCTCTCTCATCACATTCAGTTCAGCTGGAGATTCATTTGTGGTTCAGGAGTTTTTCAGTATGATTCAAACATGTAAGAATCATTAATGCAACCAAATGTCATGAATGTCATTTGGTACTGTTTATTTATTTATTTAATGCTTAGAACCAATTTTGAATAAGAATGTGTACTTGTGTACCATCCATGCATTTATAGCACTGGGACTGTAACAGAGAAAGACGTAATTATTGCAGTATGTGATTTTCATTACATTTCCCTCTGGACCTTTTTAATGAAAGCAAGAAAGCGTAGTGCGCTAGTGATTCTAAAGTTAAGCTCTTCTGAGAGGAACCACAAATTCGGGCATTGCCGCAGGACAGATAAATCTACAAGCATGGCTGGGTGACTTTTCTAATTAGAAGACTAGTGCGCATCCCTTATTTACAACAGATGATGCATTTCAAGGGAAGGATACAGAGATCTAGATAGATCTGGATGTGCTCAGTGCTGCGCTAATCGATATGAAATGCAATTTTTTTAGACACACACATTCATTGTTGGTTTTATATTAAGTATTCAAGGTGAAATATGATTCCACTAAGTAAATGTAATAATTATAAAATGAAATAGCTCATACTTGGCAGAGCAAACTCCTTCACTACTGTTAAAAATAGTTTGGGGTTAGTAAGATTTTTTTTAAGGAAATAATGCTTTTTTTATTCATGCAGTTTATTGAAAAATTGATCAAAAGTGGCAGTAAAGACATTTACGAAAATATATTTGATGTAAATACTGTTTGTTTGTTTTTTTTAGAAAAAAATCATGGTTTCCACAGAAATATAGAACAACACAACTGTTTCAACATTGAAAATAATCATAAATGTTTCTTGAGCAGCAAATCAGCATATTAGACTGATTTCTGAAGGATCATGTGACACTGAAGACTGGAGTAATGATGCTGAAAATTCAGCTTTGCATCACAGAAATAAATTAAATTTTAAAATATATTCACATAGAAAACATTTATTTCAAATTGTAATAATATTTCATAATTGTACTGTTTTTACTTTATTTTTAATAAAATAAATAAGCATAAGAAAGTCCTTTTAAAAACTATAGTGTATATGACATTAATGATTCTCCGAATCATGACTTCTTGAGGTGTGCTACTACTTTTCTAATTGAACAGACGTATAATTTGTCTTGTGTTTCATAAAATGGAATTATTCAGAAAATCTCTCAATATGACTATATTTTTTCCTCAGGCTGGATTTGGGGAAGCATGTCTCGGAGTACTGTATTCCCATTTGTTCCTCCTCAGAATCCATTGACTTCATAAGCCTCATGTAATGGAAAAGCTAGAGCGTGACTAAATACAGCCGTGTTTATGTGCATGAAGGTGAGCCGAAACTGTTTAGTCTTTGATAACCTGGGCTCTTTCTGCAGGTTGACTGGGCGCAGCAGCAGGTGGTGAAGACGCGAGTCAAACGTCACGCCAGGAGCGACCCGAGTTACATCCACTTCAACGATCCCAAATGGTCCAACATGTGGTACATTGTTAGTAGATATTTCACACATTCAGTCCTGTATTTCATATCTGCGCTGTCTTTACTTTTGACCCTTTTTTCTAATGAAGTTATTTAGCAAATGAATCGTTGCCGTTTCCAGTGACTCCTAGAGAAAAGGGCCAGTAATTTGAGCTTCATTAACCCAGCTCGTTTGTGAAGCTCCTGTTGTTTTATTTGTTTTATAGCAGGGCTGTTTCCTCTGCCCTTGCCTCATAAAACCCGAACTGTGTGAAAGCAGTGTATGTGCACCAGTTTGTTTCCCTAACAAGCTTAAAGCTATTGAATTACAAATGAATTTATGTTGTGGGTTCCGTGCAAGCGGCAACCTTCAGGTCTCTCTCGTGAAACCAACATGGAAGTGACTAAAACTGCAATTCATCGACTGGCCGCTAGAGGCTGGCTCCAAAAGGGAGTCAGTCCCATAGACTCCCCATGTTAAAATGCCCAACTTTACAGCAGAAAAAAATATGTTTACAGCCTGGTACAAAAAGTGGTTTTGGTCTATATAGCTAATTTTGCCCTTCATGACAACTGTGAGGGGGTAAATTTTTTTGTGACTCATCCGTTTAAATTATATTAAGCCTTAAAGTTCTGCATAAGCAATCCCATGGCACACTGAAGCACTGAAATTGCATACGGGGGAAAGATAGAAAGGGGAAAAGTCAACAATTAAACACTGCGTCGTCAGTGTTGGTATCGTATCAGACATTTGCACTTAACATTATATGAAAATCAAGCTCAAATTAAGTTAACAAGGTGTTTGACCAGCGAA